AAAAACTATTTCAAAAAAATCCACAACACATTGCACTAATGGTCCTTGGAAAACAATTGTGGAACAACTCTAGGTTAGTGAAAACTCCAAGATTTTTTTTAAATTTTCCTTGAAAAAAAAATGAATTCACTTCCCTGATAGTCTTGGAAAAAATATATGTTTGAATTCTCGTCTCTAATAGTCGCTGGAAAAATATATTTTTTTTAATCAATGTCCATGACAGTCCTTAAAAAATATTCTTAAAATATTGCACTAATGGTCCTTGGAAAACAATTGTGGAACAACTTTAGGTTAGTAAAAACTCCAAGTTTTTTTTTTTAAATTTTCCTTGAAAAAAAAATTAATTCAATTCCCTGATAGTCCTTGGAAAAATATATTTTTGAATTCTCGTCTCTAATAGTCTTTGGAAAAATATATTTTTGTAATCAATGTTCATGACAGTCCTTAAAAAATATTCTTAAAAATCCATGTCCCTGATAGTCCTTGATTTTATTGTCAAAAACATACACCTCTGATAGTTTTTTTTTAAAAAAAAGTTAATTTAAAAATCCCCATCCCTGATAGTCCTTGATTTTTTTTCAAAAACTCACGTCTCTGATAGTCTTTTAAAAAAAGTTGTTTTAAAACGATGTCCCTGATTTTCTTTTAATTCACTTCACTTCAAATTTATTCAAAAGTCAATAGTCCTTGAAACAATATTTTTTTAAAAAAATCACTTTTCTGATAGACCTCTGAAAAAATATTCTTAAAAATCCACTTCCTCGACAGTACCTAAAAATATTTGTTACAAATCCACATCCCTGATAGTTATTATTTTTTTTTTTAAATCCTCTCGTTCCACATAGTCCTTATCTTTAAAATATATATCTTTAAAAATCTGCATCCTCGATAGTCGTTTAAAATATTTATTAAAAATCCATGTCGCTGTTAGTCCGTAAAAAAAAATAATTTCTAAAAATCCTGGTCCCAGACTCTGTTTGTTGTTTTAAAATCCAAGTACCTGATTGTCTTTGAAAAAACATCTTTAGAAATCCAAGTCCTTGATAGTCTTTCAAGAAAGATAATAGTCCTTGAAAAAATATTTTCCAAACATAGTCCTTGAACTTGCAGAATAACGGAATATTTTCAAGGACTATTAAGTCTCGTGGTTTTAAGAATATATATTTTCAAGGACCAGGGCAGAGAATTTTTTCAGAAAGGGAATACCAAATTGGAGACTCTGATAGAGTTGTGGATGAGGAGATTTTTTTATTTATTTATTCATTTATTTATTTATTTTATTTTATTATTTTTTTTTTTTTTTTTTTTTTTTTGAATTGTCTGAAAAAACATTTTTTTTGAGAAATTTCTTCTGAATTAATTTTCCAGGACTACTAGTTTTGTCTACAGGGAACGGATGTGAAATGTTTCCTCAATTATTCAAGAAAGTCCTGAGACTTTTTTCTTTCCAGAGGGGATCTGTGAGAGGTCTGCCTTCAGTAGAAGAATTCTTAAAGATCTTTTGTCCAAAAGGCCTCGGAAAGGTCAACTTTATAAATAATGTACCTGAAGGGTATTCGCCTTATAAGTATTCGCTTAAAGATCATCTCTATGCAAAAGATCCTTTTCTTTATATAGAACACCTGTAATAGACTTTTTCCTAGAGAAGTCCTGCGAAGGACCTTCCTTAATGGGAGATCTGTAAATAAGAATAATAATAATTTTTTTTTTTTTTTTTTTTTTTTTTTGAGAAATCTTCAAAATTCCGTAGTTGTCTGTCCAAAGAACACATGTATAACATCTTCTAAAAAATCCACATCCCTGATAGTCTTTGCAAAAATATTTTTCAAAAAATTATGTCTCTAATATTCTTTAAAGTAATATTCGGAAAAAATTTCACCGCCTGAAATAATATTTTTTCACACACGATGGCGACCCTTGAAAACAAATTCTAAAAATGCACACCTCTATATGCCTTGAAGAAATATTCAAGATTCTCTTCCAGAGGTAGGTATTTGTTCTCTGAAACCCGGAAAGTTTTTTTTTTTTTTTTTTTTTTTTTTTTTTTTTTTTTTTTGGGACGGGCCCGAATAGTCGCTGAAAGACCTTGAAAATATATTACTAAAAAATCCCATATTCGGATAATCCTTGAAATAAAAATTTGAATGATTGGGAAATCTGATATTCATCGAGAAATATTTTCATAAAATTCGCACGGTGTGTATCCTTCCAAATTCACAGTTCTTAACAATTAACACCTCGGATATGCCTTATCATGCCTTTTGTCCATAATATTTGTATGCCACGAAAATAGGCCCATTTTCGCTTTTTTTAGACTTCCCTGATCCAACGATTTTCACCATTTGACTAGACTTCTTCAAAGGGAGGACTAGCCCCGGTCCAAAACATGTTATTGGTCTTGGGTTTGGGTCTTATATACAGAGTGAGATGAAAAAACTGCAATCAACTTCAGACTGCTGTCATTTCTAAGCCACTCGTCCGACAGCTGTTAAAATTATACCAGTGACAGCTCATGATATTGTTTAAAAGCCTACAAAAGCATTTTGGTGAGAATTTTTCAGAAAAATAGTTATTCGCGATAGAATTCAAACGTGATAAGGTGACTTCTTTATATTTGGCTGGAAAACCAAAAGTGGCTATCGTTAGAGCCCGTTACCGGACCGTGACACTGGTAGCGTAGCTCGACGTCAAGGAAGTGGACGGAAAAAAATCTGTAACATCAGCAGAAAAGGTTCGAAAAGTAAAGAAACGACTTGATCGAAACCCGCGTCGCAGTGGTTCGTGAGCTGAACATATCGCAATATTCTATTCGGCAAATATTGAAAAATGAGCTAGGGGTGAAGCCTTGAAATTCCAAAAACTGCAAGAACTTACACCGCCACGGAAAGAAAATATATTCAAGAAGCTAAAGAGTTGAACTGCCGAATTTGGGTTTCCCCGTTGTCCAGCAGTTTGTAAACAAAGAAGATAATCGTATTTACTTGCCAAAGAGGTCAGCTGAAAATGTGCACCTTCGGTTGGCCACCAGAACTCAAGCGCCGGCAATGGTGATGATGTGGGCCGCCATAACAGCCGATAATCGTTCTCCGCTCGTATTAATCGACTGTGGCATCAGAATAAATGCAGAATATTATCGCGAGAATATTCTGGAGGGTGTATTAAATCCTTGGTCACGCAAACATTTTGGTCGCAGGCCTTGGACATTCAAACGGGAGTCAGAACCATCGCACTCAGCACGAGAGTGGTTACAAAATGAGGTTCCTCGTTTCATTTCCAGGGCACAATGGCCACCAAAATCTCCGGATACCAGTCCGTTGGACTATTGTGTCTGGAGTATTTAGGAAAGCAAGGTTGACACTAAAAAATACCAAAGTGTCGATCACCTCAAGCAAGCGCATCGGTAGGAATGGGCCAAAATACCGCAGAGCAACATTCGGCAGTAACATCAGCAGAAATGGTTCGAAATGTAAAGAAGCGACTTGATCGAAACCCACGTCGCAGTGGCCGAAAAATGGCTCGTGAGCTGAACATATCGCAATATCGCATTCGGCAAATATTGAAAAATGAGCTTGGGGTAGCCATGAGCCATTGAAATTCCAAAAAAGTGCAAGAACTTACGCCGCAACAGAAAGAAAATAGACTCAAGACCCTAAAGAGCTGCTTCGCTTGGCCGAAAGTGGTGAACTGCCAAATTTGGGTTTCTCCGATGGGAAAACATTCGTGGACCGGCAGTTTGAAAATAAACAAAGTGATCGTCCTTACATGCCAAAGAGGTCAGCTGAAAATGTGCACCTTCGGTTGGCCACCAGTCGTTCTCCGTTCGTATTAATCGACCGTGGCATCAGAATAAATGCCGAATATTGTCGGGAAATATTCTGGAGGGTGTATTAAAGCCTTGGCCACGAAAACATTTTGGCCGCAGACCTTGGACATTCCAACAGGACTCAACACCATCGCACTCAGCACGCGCCACATGAGAATGGTTACAAAATGAGGTTCCTCGCTCCATTTCCAGCCACCAAAATCTCCGGATACCAATCCGTTGGACTATTGTGTCTGGAGTATTTTGGAAAGCAAGGTTCGCACTAAAAAATACCAAAGTGTCGATCACCTCAAGGAAGCGCTTCGCCGGAAATGTCCCGAAATATCGCAGAACAACATTCGGGCAGCGTGTGGCTGTTTCATGGACAGTTTGAAGGTCATAATTCGTGCCAAAGGTGCCAAATTCGAACAAATCTAAATTTATTCTAAAATTTGATGCTATTTCCGACATTTTTGCTTTCATTCAATAAAATTAAAAAAAAAATTGTAAAAATTATACCGTTTGAATTTGTTGCAGTTGTTTATCTCACCCTGTAATTTCATAAAATTCGCAAGGCGTCTCTATCCCGGACCCGATTTGGTCAAACATTACACATCCAAAAAATTTTATTGTTTTTGGGTCTTACATAGTTATTACCTATCTAGATCCTACCTTTTCCATCCCCAGAAGTTCTTCCAATGGTCAACTATTTTATGAAAAAACCTTTAGGGGTGTTTAATCCAGACTATGAAAAGAAAACACTTTCAACGCCCTCCCACCTCCCATAGAGGTTTTCGTTATGTCTTTTCCCAACATGACCCATTTTAAGATTATCTTACCTTAGAAGGGTCCTTTAAATTCTACAATGACTCTCTTTAAAGACCCCTATGCATGGAGGCAAAACAAATAATTACATCTTCTTCATGGCTATTATAAATTGAAACAATCCTCAGGATATATTTAATTCTGCTCAAAAAGTATTTATGCCAATATTTAACAAAAAAATAAACATTTTGACTTCATGAAATTCCATAAAGCCCCCCATATCTTTTGCAAAACTTTTATGGTCACGTATTTTTCGAGAAACGAATACTTTATGCAGCGTGCCAGCAGAATTTTATCTACAGTTTACATTTTCTTTAACATCATCTTCCCTTTCTTTTCTTCTTTACTCCCTCCCCCCCCCCCCCCCTGACAGGTGCAAACTGTTTCCATTAGCTACCTACGGTGTCTAATAGAACATGTACGCTGCTATTTATTGGATCGTGATATCGAACTTATCTACTATACCATACGCAAGTCGAGCGATGTCCTGACACGTGACCCCATGCAATTGGGGGCCCAGGTAAGAAATCTCTCTGCTCATGTAATTGCAACATTTATTTATTTTCTTTTGCATTTCTCTTTTTCTCCCTTCCTTTTCTCCCCCTTTTTTGCCACAGCTAATAGCCTGGTTAAGGCCAATCAGCGAACATGATGAAAATGACACATCACTGTTGAGCATGACAGTGCGTTCGGCCACGGCCTGGTGTGACGGCTACACGGTGCCACTGCTAGTGCCCCTCACCGGTTGGCTGCCGGCACCACTGCCATCGCAGATACGCACCATGACCGTGTCCGGAACGGGGCCGATACGTGACATCTGTGTCGCCCCCACCAAGCAACACTTAATTTTGGCCACCAAATCCGGCGATGTCCAGTTATGGCACATAATGAGCAATTCATTGGATCACATATTCAAAGGTAGGTAATTATGGAGGAGATCAAGAGGAGCTAATGAGGGATAAATGGGGGTAGATGATTGGTAGTTAATTTAAAACTACAATAAGGTATTAAAAACAAAACGAATATCCCAGGAGTACAATTTTTTAAAACCCACCCTTCTTATGGTCCCTAAAAATCTATTTAATTCTTATATTGGCTCAAAGAGTCCTCAAACGAAAAATTTGACTAAAAACCCTCAATAATCTCCGAAAAAAAAAGAACGAAATATTCACGACAATGGAAGTCCTTTGCATATATTTTTAAAAAACCTACTGCTATACCTGGAAAACCCTTAAAAAATAATCGTCCTTGATTGAGATCTCAGATAGTGAGTAAATGAAATGTAAAAGACCTTGTCTTGTCTAGACCTTGATTTTTTTTTTTCAAAAATCCATGTCCTCGATAGTCCTTCAAGAAATATTTTTAAAAAATCCCCAACCCTGATAGCCATTAAAAATATATTTTTTTTAAAGTTCACGTCCCTGAAATTTCTTTAAAAAGCGGTATTGAAAACCAAAGTCCTTAATAGTCCTTGAAACAAATATTAAAAATCTCCTTCCCTGACATATTTATTAAAAAATCAATGTCTCTGATAAAAAGTACCCGTCCCTTATAGTCCTTGGAAAACTATTTTTTAATGCACGTCCCTAAAATTCGTTGAAGAAAATTTTTTCGAAGATTCTGTCCTTACATTCCTTGATTTTTTAAGGAAATTCACGTCTCTGATCCTTTCAACGAATGTTATTTACCACCCCGATAATTTTTATACTCTCCACCATATTACACATTTTAGACCCCACAAAGTATATATATTCTTGATCAGCATAAAATTCTAAGTCGATTTAGCGATGCCCGTCCGTCTGTGGAAACCACTCTAGCTTCGGAACGAATTGAAGTCAATTGATAACATTTTACTCAAATGTATGTTATGTCTGCAGGATTTTTGGTATTGAAATGGGCCATTTAGGTCCACGTCTTCGTATAGCCCCCATATAACGGCACCTCTCGATATTTGGTATTTTGATGATATTAGGGACATTATTCACCGGAATTTTTTCAAATTTGGTATTTGAAGTTCGTAATGGATACTACAGCCTAAGACAGAAAATTGTCTGTGTAGGTCCACGTCTTCATATAGCCCCAACATAACGGTACCTCTCGATATTCGGTATTTTGATGATTTTAGCGACAGTATTCACCGGAATTGTTTCAAATTTGGTATTTGAAGTTCGTAATGGATACTTCAGCCTAAGACAGAAAATTCTCGGTGCAGGTCCGCGTCTTCGTATAGCCCTCCTTTAATGGTACCTCCCAATATTCGGTATTTTGATGATTTTAGCGTCATTATTCACCGGAGTAGTTTCAAATTACGTATTTAGAGTTTGTAATGGGAACTACATTCTGTGACACACAATTTTTTATGCAGGTTCAGGTCTTCGTATAGGTCCCATACATCAGTACCTCCCTATATTCGGATTTTAGGTACAATACTCACCGAAATTGTTTGAGATGTCGTATTTGAAGTTTGTAGTGGATGCTACAGCCTGTGACAGGAAATTGTCTATGCAGGATCAGGTCTTCGTATAGCTCCGGTATAACGGTACCTCCCTATAGACGGTATTTTGAAGACGCTACATTATACCCGTTTATAATATGGTAATGGCCTATAACAAACAATGCCTATGTAGGCTCACGTCGTATAGACGTCCGTTCTATTCTATTAAAATTTTATAATACCGAATATAGCCGTTATATATTCGATATTTTAAGATTTTAATAGAATTTTTAACGGATTTAATTTTTTGAAAATTTCCAAATTTGATCCATATGGTGGACCAAAGTTCGGTACGGCCGAACTTACTGCCTTTGAACTTGTTTCTAATTACCTATAGTTCTTGAAAGAATATTTTTTTTAAAAATCCTCGTTCATGATAGTCCTTTGAAAATTATTATTTTCTGTAAATTCAAGTCCATGATAGTCCTAGAAATTTTGAAAATGTGCAACTTCGGTTGGCCACCAGAACTTAAGCGCCGGCCACGGTGATGGTGTGGTATGGGCCGTCATAACAGCCGATGGTCGCTCTCTGCTCGTAATAATCGACCCTGACATCAAAATAAATGCCGAATATTATCGCGAAAATATTCTGGAGGGTGTATTAAAACCTTGGGCACGCAAACATTTTGGCCGCTCCAACATGACTCAGCACCATCGCACACAGCACGCGCCACCCAAAAATGGTTACAAAATGAGGTTCCTCGCTTCATTTCCTGTGCACAATGGCCACCAAAATCTCCGGATACCAATCCGTTGGACTATTGTGTCTGGAGTATTTTGGAAAGCAAGGTTGGCACTAAAAAATACCAAAGTGTCGATCAGCTCAACCAAGCACTTCTCTGGGAATGGGCCAAAATACCGCAGAGCAACATTCGGACAGGGTGTGACGGTTTCATGGGCCGTTTGAAGGCCATAATTCGTTCCAAAGGTGACCAATTCGAACCAATCTAAACTTATTCTAAAATTTGATGCTATGTCCGACATTTTTTGCTTTGCTTCAATAAAATTTAAAAAGAAAATTTTAAAAATTATGGCGTTTGACTTTGTTGCAGTTTTTTTATGTCACTCTGTTCACATCGTCGAATGTCCTTGACATTTTTTTTTCAAAATCCATGTCCCAGATAGTCCTTGATTTTTTTAAAGCCACATCCCTAAAAGTCCCTGAAAAATATGTTTTTTTAATTCACGTCCCTGAGAGTCCCTGAAAATGTTATATTTTTTTAAATCCAATTCCGAATAATTCTTGAAAGAATATTTAGTTTTTAAAAACCCGTCGTGGAAAATCTTTAAAAAATATTTATTAAAATTTTTTAGTCCTATTCTCAGATAGTCTTTGAAATAATACATTTGTTAACTCCACATCCCTAAGGGTTCTTTAAACGGATTTTTTTTAAATCCTCCTCCCTGATTGTCATTAAAAGTATATATTTTTTAAACAATTTCCCTGATAGTCCTTGAAAAAATATGTATTTTTTTGCAAATCCATGTCTCTTATGGTCCTTGAAAAAATGTTTTTTTTTTTTAATAACCTATCAATCCTCAAAAACCATTTAAATGTAATACTTGAAAAATAATTTTTAAAAAAAACTAAAACCCAAATCTTCAGCAGTCATTTAAAAAAAATAATTCTTTTTAAATTCACCGAGTCAGAAAGTCTTTGAAAAAATATTTTATAAAATATCCACGTCCTAGATATTCCTTGAACATATAATTTCCAAAATCCGAAAAAAACTTAAAATCCACGTCCTTGATAGTCCTTAAAAATAATTGAAATCCACGTCCTTGATAGTCCTTGAAAATAATTGAAATCCACGTCCCTGTAATGCTTAAAAAATATTTTGTAAAAAACCCACGATCCTCATAGACCTTGATTTTTTTTTTAAATTCCATGTCCTTGATAGTCCTTCAAGAAATATTTTTTAAAAGTCCCCAACCCTGATAGTCATTAAAAATATTATAAAATAATATAATAAAATAATAAAATATGTTTTTAAGTTCACGTCCCTGAAGTTTCTTAAAAATGCAATATTAAAAATTAAAGTCCTTAATAGTCCTTGAAACAAAAAAAATATTAAAAATCTCCTTCCCTAACATATTTATTGAAAAATCAACGTCTCTGATAGTCCTTTAAAAAAAACCAAAAATCTTTTAAAAAGTACCCAGCCCTTGAAAAACAATTTTTTTAATGCACGTCTGAAAAATTCATTGAAAAAAATATTTTTTGAAGATTCATGTCCTTACATTCCTTGATTTTTCTTTATGAAATTCACGTGTCTGATCCTTTAAAAAAAATGATATTTACGACCCCGATTGGCCCGATATTCTTTTTTTAAATTCATGTCCTTACATTCCCTAATTTTTCTTCATGAAATTCACGTCCCTGATCCTTTAAAAAATGCTATTTACGACCCCGATTGGCCCGATTATTTTTTTTTTTAATTCATGTCCTTAAATTCCTTGATTTTTTTTAGAAAATGCACGTCCCTGATCCTTTAAAAAAATGCTATTTACGACCCCGATTGGCCCGATATTCTTTTTTTAAAATCATGTCCTTATATTCCTTGATTTTTCTTTATGGAATTCACGTCCCTGATCCTTTAAAAAAATGCTATTAACGACCCCGATTGGCCCGATATTCTTTTTTTAAATTCATGTCCTTACATTCCTTGATTTTTCTTTATGGAATTCACGTCCCTGATCCTTTAAAAAAATGCTATTAACGACCCCGATTGGCCCGATATTCTTTTTTTAAATTCATGTCCTTACATTCCTTGATTTTTCTTTATGAAATTCACGTCCCTGATCCTTTAAAAAAATGCTATTAACGACCCCGATTGGCCCGATATTCTTTTTTTAAATTCATGTCCTTACATTCCTTGATTTTTCTTTATGGAATTCACGTCCCTGATCCTTTAAAAAATGCTATTTACGAACCCGATATTCCTGATATATTTTTTTTAAATTCTCGTCTCTAATGGTCCTTTAAAAAGTATTCTTAAAAATCATCGTTCCAGATAGTCCTTGAAACTGATTTTTTTAAAAATTCAAGTCCTTGGTAGTCATTTAAAAATATTCTTAAAAATCCTCATTTCACATAGTTCTTGAATTTTTTTCTTTAAAAATCCACGTCCCTATAGTCCTTGAAAAAATTTCTTTAAAAATCCGCGCCATTAACAGTCCTTGGAAAAATATTTATTAAACTACCATGTAGCTGTAAAAAAATAATTTTTAAATCCTCATCCCAGACAGTGGTCAAAAAAATTATCTTTAAAAATGAAAATAGTCTTTGAAAAAATATTTTTCTAAAATCCATGTCGCTGATGGTGGCCTCTGAAATATTATTTTTTTTTTCAAACACAATGGAGACCCTTGAACACAAAATCTAAAAATTTACAACTCTTATTTACCTTGAAAAATACTCTCGAAGCCGTCCGAAAATACTCGAAGCAGTCCTTTAAAATAACATTTAACAAATCACCGCTATTGGAATTCCCCTTTGTCATTTAATGATTTGACACGTTCATCTCAGTTAATTTAGCTAATAGAACAAAGAACATTTGCCATGTTAGCTGCAATAGAAACTAGTAATGAAAATTATTTTTCTCATTAAAGCTCAATAAAGTCCAAGTTCGAATAGTAAACCTTAACAGGGTGGGGCCATAGGACACCACACAAGAGAGCTCTCTATCGATTATCACCAAATTTGTTGTTTAGTTATTAAATTACATACACTGGCACCCACACACACACACACTCACATGTCTCATGCCCTTAATTGACTTCCGTTTCCTTTTTCCTGATTGTGTAGGATAGCCCACACAATATGTGAGTGTACCCACACACAAACATACCCGAACTCTTAAAGCTATTGTCTAACCGTTATATTTCTTTCTCTCTCGCCTTTGTTTGTCCACTTCTTCCAGGTCATACAGCGGCAGTCACGTGCCTCCTGGTAGCACCACAATCAGATCTATTATTGACCGGTTCCGAAGATGGTACCGTGATTGTTTGGAACGTGACATCGCGCGAATTAAAGACGCACATTAAGTAAGTATGTCACAGAGTGTGATGTCTATGGGGGGTGAGGGTGGGGCAGGTATTGCATTTTCAAGTCATTGTTTATTGAATCCTCTTTCATCTCCTACTTTACAGGGCAAATACTTCGATTGTGACAAGTGTTGCTGCGGGCGTTAATAACACAATGGTCATCAATGGCAGCGAAGACTCAACGATTGTCATATCGGATATCAGCAGTGGAAAATTGGTGAGTAGCAAAACTTGAAATATTTAAAAGAACGAGGACATAGAGACAGCGGGAAATTAAAGAATTTAGCTTTAGACAAAATTAAAAAAATTAAAAAATTCTTGAAGCTCCTTAAAAATATTCTTTAAATTATATTTAGAGGTTAGGGGTAATTACATTTTTAAAAATCTACCCTTAAACGTTTAAAGGTCCTTGGGAAAATATGCTTTGAGAATCCACTTTAAAAGTTGGAAAGTTCTTGAGGAAATATTATTTAAAAAAGTTGGACGGTCCTTGAGAAATTTTTCTTTAAATATCCACGTTTATTGTTCGGGAGATTCTTGAGAATTTTTTCTTTCTTGAGAAATTTTTCTTTAAATATCCACGTTTATTGTTCGGGAGATTCTTGAGAATTTTTTCTTTCTTGAGAAATTTTTCTTTAAAAATCCACGTTTTTTGGTCCTTGAGAAAATATTTTTTTTTTAAATCCACGTTTGTTGGTTTTTCGCCCTTGAGAATTTTTTTTTAAATCCACGTCTTGAAAAAATATTCTTTTAAAAATCCACGTTTAAAATTTGGAAGGTCCTTGAAAAAATATTTTTTTTTAAATCCACGTTTATTGTTCGAAAGATCTTTGAGATTTTTTTTAAATCCACGTCTGTTGGTTTTTTCGTCCTTGAGAAAATATTATTTAAAATCCACGTTTGTTGTTCGGGAGATTCTTGAGAATTTTTTTTTTAAATCCACGTTTGTTGTTCGGGAGATTCTTGAGAATTTTTTTTTAAATCCACGTTTGTTGGTTTTTTCGTCCTTGAGGAAATATTATTTAAAAATCCACGTTTGGAATTTGGAAGGTCCTTGAGAAAATTGTTTTTAAAAATCCCCGTTTGTTGGTCTCTTGGCCCTTGAGAAAATATTCTCTAAAAATCCACATTTGTTGGTCGTTTGGTCCTTGAGAAAATATTCTCTAAAAATCCACGTTTGTTGGTCGTTTGGTCCTTGAAAAATTTACTTTTAAAATCCACGTTTAAAATTTGGAAGGTCCTTGAGAAAATATTCTTTTAAAAATCCGCGTTTGTTGGTTTTTTGGTCCTTGAGAAAATATTCTCTAAAAATCCACATTTGTTGGTCGTTTGGGCCTTGAGAAAATATTCTTTTAAAATCCACGTTTGTTGGTCGTTTAGTCCTTGAGAAAATATTTTTTTAAAATCCACGTTTAAAAGTTTAGAAGGTCCTTGAGAAAATTGTCTTTAAAAACCTCGTTTGTTGGTCTCTTGGCCCTTGAGAAAATATTCGTAAAAAACATGTTTAGAAGTTTCTAAGGGCCTTGAGAAATTATTCTTAAAAAATCCACGTTTAGAAGTTTCTAAGGTCCCTGAAAAAATATTCTTCTTAGAATTTGGAAGGTCCTTGAGAAAATATTTTTTAAAAATCCGCGTTTGTTGGCTTTTGGTCCTTGAGAAAATATTCTCTAAAAATCCACATTTGTTGGTCGTTTGGTCCTTGAGAAAATATTCTTTAAAAATCCACATTTGTTGATCGTTTGGTCCTTGAGAAAATATTCTTTTAATATCCACGTTTAAAATTTGGAAGGTCCTTGAGAAAAAATTCTTTTAAAATCCACGTTTAAAATTTGGAAGGTCCTTGAGAAAATATTCTTTTAAAATCCACGTTTAAAATTTGGAAAGTCCTTGAGAAAAAATTCTTTTAAAATCCACGTTTAAAATTTGGAAGGTCCTTGAGAAAATATTCTTTTAAAATCCAAGTTTAGAAGTTGGAAGGTCCTTGAGAAAAAATTCTTTTAAAATCCACGTTTGTTGGTTTTTTTCTTTCTTGAGAAAATATCCTTTCAATATCCACATTTGTTGTTCGGGAGATCCTTGAGATTTTTTTTTAAAAAATCCACGTTTGTTGGTTTTTTCTTCCTTGAGAAAATATTCTTTCAATATCCACGTTTGTTGTTCGGGAGATCCTTGAGAATTTTTTTTTTAAATCCACGTTTGTTGGTTTTTTGGTCCTTGAGAAAATATTTTTTAAAAATCCACTTTTGTTAGTCTTTTGATCCTTGATAAAATATTCCTTAAAAATCCAAGTTTGAAATTGGGTAGGTCCTTGGAAAAATATTCTTTAAAAATCCACGTTTGATGGTCTTTTGGTCCTTGAAAAATATGCGTTAAAAATCCAAGTTTTTTTGGTCCTTGAATAGTATCCTTATAAGATCTACGTATAGATGTCAGAAGGTACTTGAAAAAATATTCCTTAATATTAAACACCTGTTGATCGGAAGGTCCTTGAAAAAATATTCTACAAAAATACAAGAATTCTTTAAAAATTCTCGTTTAGAGGTTGGGAGGTCCTGCAAAAAATATTCTTTGAAAATCCCAATTTAGAGATTGTAAGGTTCTTGAAAAACATATTCCTTTCAAAAGACCTCCTAATGGCCTTCCAAAGGTCTTTTAGTCTATTGTATTTGCCTTATGTGGCATATCATTCTTCTTTTTACGAATTTAACAAAATGTCTTAACCCTTTCACTTCTCACCACTTGCCACAATTTATGCTTGGCATTCCTGGAATCCATTCAAACACTTTCGCCTCCTCGTTATCTACATGAATTTATGCTTGGCATTCCTGGAATCCATTCAAACACTTTCGCCTCCTCGTTATCTACATGAATGACATTGCCATTTCATAGAGTTTAGTTAAAGCCATTGTCTTTAATGTTATTACCCCGAAATAAAAATACATTATCTCCCGAGTAGATATTTTGACATTTCCAAATCAGACAGACTCTCGGCGAATGGAGACAGTGGATTATCTTATAGCTGCTGCTGCCATTGTCTGGGCCATGGAAAAATCCAAACTCGAATTGTCATCGTTTTGCCTTAAGACAAAAAAAAGAAGCTAAAGTAACTTAAACACTCAGATGACACATTCACAGCCGGTTGCAGCTAAACCTAGCCAGGAGTGAGGAAGGAAGGAAAGCGGGAGCAGAAGACGAGAAGAAAAACGAAGACAACTAAAGTGCCAAACTTAATCAAACCAATTTAAAGCAATGAAATAAACTGGTTAAAAGACTTAAAGATTTCCATAAAAATTCCTAGTTAAGTGTCTTGAGAGAGAGAGGGAGACAGAAAGAAATGTGAAAGTGTTGGAAGATGATGAAACTTTAGCAAAACTCTATTAAAATTGAGGGGTTTATATGAAACAATAACAAGAAAGACGAAAACAACTTCTAAAGAAAAATCCAAAATTAAATTAAAAAATTTAAATTTCTTGAAAATCGGGTTTATGTGAAAGATATCCCAGGAAGACATTTTTAAAAAAATTATTTTCCTTCCTCAAGAAAAAAAATTCACTTTTGTTAGTCTTTTGGTCCTTGAGAAACTATTCCTTAAAAATCCACGTTTGAAATTTGGTAGGTCCTTGAGAAACCTTTTATTAAAAATCCACGTTTGAAATTGGTAGGTCCTTGAGAAACTTTTTATTAAAAATCCACGTTTGTTAATCACATGTCCTTGAGAAAAATTTCTTTAAAGTTTGTTGATCACAGGTCCTTGAAATTTTTTTTTCTATTAAAAATCCACGTTTGTTAATCACATGTCATTGAGAAAAATTTCTTTAAAGTTTGTTGATCACAGGTCCTTGAAATTTTTTTTCTATTAAAATCCACGTTTAGAAGTTGGAAGGTCCTTGGGAAAATATTCTTTAATAATCCACATTTAGAAGTTGGAAGGTCCTTGGGAAAATATTCTTTAATAATCCACGTTTAGAAGTTGGAAGGTCCTTGGGAAAATATTCTTTAATAATCCACGTTTAGAAGTTGGAAGGTCCTTGAGAAAATATTCTTTAATAATCCACGTTTAGAAGTTGGAAGGTCCTTTAGAAAATATTCTTTAAAATCCACGTTTAGAAATTGGAAGGTCCTTGAGAAAATATTCTTTAAAAATCCACGATTAGAAGTTGGAAGGTCTTTGAGAAAATATTCTTTAAAAATCCACGTTAGTTGGTCCTTTCGTCCTAGAGAAAATATTCTTTAAAATCCACGTTTAGAAATTGGAAGGTCCTTGAGAAAATATTCTTTAAAAATCCACGATTAGAAGTTGGAAGGTCTTTGAGAAAATATTCTTTAAAAATCCACGTTAGTTGGTCCTTTCGTCCTAGAGAAAATATTCTTTAAAAATCCACGTTTGTTGGTCCTTTCGTCCTAGAGAAAATATTCTTTAAAATCCACGTTTAGAAGTTGGAAGGTCCTTGAGAAAATATTCTTTAAAAATCCACGTTTGTTGGTCCTTTCGTCCTAGAGAAAATATTCTTTAAAAATCGTCGTTTAGAAGTTGGAAGGTCCTTGAGAAAATTTTCTTTAAAAATCCACGTTCAGAAGTTGGAAGGTCCTTGAGAAAATATTCTTTAAAAATCCACGTTTAGAAGTTATAAGGTTCTTGAGAAAATATTCTTTCAAAATCCAAGTTTAGATGTTGGAAGGTCCTTGAGAAAATATTCTTTAAAAATCCAAGTTTAGAAGTTGGAAGGTCCTTGAGAAAATATTCTTTAAAAATCCACGTTTAGAATTTGGAAGGTCCTTGAGAAAATATTCTTTAAAAATCCACGTTTAGAAGTTGGAAGGTCCTTGAGAAAATATTCTTTAAAAATCCACAGTTAAAGATTTCGGAGGTCCTTTAAACATATCTTTTAAAAATCCACTTTTAAAGGTTCGGAGGTCCTTGAAAAATATTCTTCCAATATTTATGCTTGTTAATCAGAAAAATATCTTTTTAAAAATGCAAGTTAATATATCGAACGGACCTTGAAATATGTTCTTTAAAAATCCACGTTAAGATGTCGGAAGGTCCTAGGTGTTCTTCATAAATCCCCGTTTGTTGATCTGAAGATCCCTGGCAAAATATTCTTCTAAAAGCAATGTATGATGTCAGATGATTCTTAAAAATTCAAGTTTGTTGTTCCTTAAAAACGTTCTCCCTTGCCTTTGGCCCATAAAATATTTGTTAACCAATGGCTCATT